TAAATATCCTTTTTTCTACATTTTCTCAGGCAGATTTAAAAATTTGTTAAAATTTTTAAGCGCGGGCACCGTCTAAAGTTGCTACGTTCTGCCGCGATAGCCACGAGACGGCCGAAAAGGAATTTTAGCTCGGATTCGGACAGAGCAATACAGGAGAGACAAGGATCAGTCTGTCCTTTACTCGGAGTTTCTCAGTTTCTCCGCACGAGGCCTCCAAGATCAATTCGGAGTTGGCCCGTCGCTCCTGTATACCCTTAAAATGATTTTGGGGTTGCTCGTGGCGCCATCTAGCGTTCATGGACGCGAAAGTGCTTGGCTCCAACGAGTTTGGAGGTGCTCGTGGCGCCATCTAGCGATCATGGCCGCGAAAGTGCTTGGCTCCAATAATGCTGTACATATTAGGATCAAGCGGATGTGAAAATTTCGTTTTTCCTCAATAACTCCCGAACGGATGGACGTAGGGGGACCTATGTAAGACCATTTTGTAGGGAACTACGAGATCTACAATTTCTGTGCAAAAAGATTTCGCTAGCCTCAATAGTTAACGAGTTATTTGCAAAAAACTGTTTTTCGTTTTTCGTCTATAACTCGTTAATTATTGGCACTAGCGAATTCTTTTTACACGGAAATTGTAGACCTCGTTGTCCCCTACAAAATGAGCCTAAATACGCCCCCCTACGTCCAACCGTTCGGGAGTTATTGAGGTAAAAAGGAAATTTCTTGTCAAAAGCGAAAGTGCTAAAAGTTGGCTAAAAAGTTCATCGTCGCGCCATCTAGCGTTCACGGATTCGAACCATGCTTGACTCCACTATGTACGGCAATATTTCTGCAATTTTTGTTTTTCGTCAATAACTCCCAAACGGATAGACATAGGAGGGCGTATTTAGAACCATTTTGTAGGGGACGACGAGATCTACAATTTCTATATGATAACTTTTCGCTAGTGCCAATAGTTAACGAGTTATTTGCAAAAAACGAAAAACAGTTTTTTGCAAATTACTCGTAAACTATTGATGCTAGCGAGAAACTGTTATATAGAGATTGTAGATCTCGTCGTTCTCTACAAAATGGTCCCATACACGCCCCTCTAAGTCCATCCGTTTGGAAGTTATTGGCGAAAAACGAAAAAACAGTTTTTTGCAAATAACTCGTTAACTATTGAGGCTAGCGAAATCTTTTTGAACAGAAATTGTAGATCTCGTAGTTCCCTACAAAATGGTCTTACATAGGTCCCCCTACGTCCATCCGTTCGGGAGTTATTGAGGAAAAACGAAATTTTCACATCCGCTTGACCCTAATATGTACAGCAATACTGGAGCCAAGCACTTTCGCGGCCGTGGACGCTAGATGGCGCCACGAGCAACCCCAAATTCTTTTGAGGTATGTGAATAGGTGGTGATGTGCGTAGGTTAAAATTGTGTGTTTTTATTTTGATGCGTCAAAATTATATTAAAATCCAACAGTATCGATGCCAGATCGAATATCGAAAAAACAAGACGTAGGCTCATTATTCGTTTTAAATTTTGTTCCCTAGGGGAACACATGCACATAACTGGCTCAATTTCATTATTACTAGCTGCTGAAGAAACTCGGTCAGTTTCAAAGACTCCAAGAAAGTATTAAAATCTGTTAAAAACTAACCTTCATACGAGAAGGTAAAAAAGGAGGCAAGTTCTATGAAAATTATACTTTCTTATTGTCTTTAATTTTATAGAAATTCGTTGAAATCCGTATGGCTAAGTAGAGGACGAAGAGGAAAAACTATTAAATTTATTTTGTAAAATAAATCGAATAAAATGTACAACTCATAGAAATAAAGCAAAGGGCATGTATAATAGTTTTCGTTAAAAACACTTGTTTCGTGAATGATAATTCGTGAATGATTTCGTGAAAAATTATAAAAATTTTGCAATAAACGGCAAATTTCGGCAGATCTCTAGATGGCGCTTGTATCGCGTTAGATCTTAGATTTAGATGGAAGCGAATTCTATCGAAATCGGTTAGTAGCTAGTAGTTGCACAACCGCAGTCGCAGATTTCATATTTCGTTGGAAGCCAGAGTACGCCGGACGCTTTTCTCTTACCAGATGTAAGTTTTATCACAAAAGAAAGGGACATCTCCCTATATATTTCGATTTAATTCTAGACCAACGTCCGTGTACAATATCATCGAACGAACGTTACGTTTATTTCCTTATTACAGTAGATATTCGAAGTAACATTCGCGACCGGTTTTTACATGAATGATTACATGTTTCAAACGTACATTCGAGTCGAGCACGAAAAACATGTGAACGATGTCATCTTGTATAATATTGTCGTATCGTTGTGTTTCAAATTTTTTTTTATGGAAAACGGTTGCTCATTGTCGAAGTTTCTCGACAATGCAAATGTTAGATCTATTCGGCTTCATTTGCATTAGTTTTATTCTTTGTTAGAAACAGAAAGCAGTTATAACTCAAAAAATGGATATATTATAAACATTTCATAAATTTCATGTAATGCGTAACATGTTTAAGGAACGTGCAATAATTCTCTTCTTGCGAAACATTTATTTCCGCATAGTCATTATGATTAATTGGACTCTTGATTCGTATTCGCAATAAAATTTGAATTAATGGTCTACGACAAAGATCGCATTGCTAGAATTTTCAACGTTTTCTTGTAATCATGCGATACTTGACTACTCGACCTTGACAAATATCGCCTGTTGCTATATAGAGAATAATCATTATTGTTCCCATTCTCTTTATCGATTCCCAAGTTTCTAATCCGTTTTCATGTATGAGTAGTTATTCTAGCTAGATTAAAGCAGCGTCTTTGAGGTAGTCGATAAGCGAGTATTCTTAAAGTTTTACGAAATCACGTACTTAATAGTTCCATCAGTTAGATTATAGTCAATAGTTGGATTACTTTACGTAACGCGATAAGTTGAAGGTTAAAGATAGGAGATTCATTGTTTTTTGGAACTACTGAAATTCTGCTAATCATGATTTCATAATTTCGATCGAAAAGTGTAGGTTAAGATAAAAGTACCATACACAGATTTTTATATACATAATAATCTGTCTGTCTGTATATACAATATTATACAGGATGAGTTGCCTAAAGCAAACCACCTGAATAACTTATTAATTTTCTCGTTCATAGAATTCGAAAGCCTAACCATGCCAGCAATCCAAAAACATGCTCCAGCTTTCTCGGGCACCGCTGTTGTCAAAGGAGAATTCAAACAGATTTCTCTCTCCGATTTCAAAGGAAAATATGTTGTGCTGTTCTTCTATCCACTAGACTTGTAAGTTTTTTTACTCTTTATTTCCTATGTACAGTCTGAGGCTAATAAGACCTGAAAATAGTAATAAATCTATGACTCCTTTTGTCTAAGTCGTTAAGTAAATAAGCTGTACCGGCTACCTACCCGAAGTACGGTTGTAAAGTAAAGGGACCGATATAGCTGTCGTAAAACTGTGGTTGCTGTCCCTTGCACCTCCAACAAAAGAGGTCATAATGACATGCTGTAAACCGAGTAACGTAGCGACGTAGTTGCTAGCCGTCCAGTTTTACTTGCAGTTTCCAATGCCAAAACTCGATTTACAAAATATTTAAATAGAAACTGGGACATTGAGAAATTTTCTTACAAATTAATTAAAATTTATTGTTAATATTTTGTAGAATGAAAGTTCTTCGATTTTCACTGTATATCGTCGATGTCTTTTCACGTATACTGATTAAACTCACGTTTTTCAGCACGTTCGTCTGTCCAACCGAAATAATCGCCTTCTCCGACCGCGCCCAGGAATTCGAGCAGATCGGCTGCAAATTGATCGCCGCGTCCACAGATTCTCACTTCAGCCATTTGGCATGGGTGAACACACCGCGTAAGCAGGGCGGTCTTGGTGAAATGAACATTCCCCTTCTCGCTGACAAGAGTAGCAAGATCGCACGCGACTACGGTGTGCTCGACGAAGACACGGGCATTCCATTCCGTGGACTCTTCATCATCGACGACAAGCAAATCTTGCGTCAGATCACCATCAACGACTTGCCCGTTGGCAGGTCCGTCGACGAGACCTTGCGTTTGGTCCAAGCATTCCAGTACACTGACAAACATGGAGAAGTGTGTCCAGCTGGCTGGAAACCAGGAAAGAAAACCATGAAGCCCGATGTTCAGGCATCGAAGGAATACTTCAAGGATTCGTAAATCCTTTCGATTCGACGGCTCGAAAATACCAGTGTCCTTTTATCAGAGTTATTACTTAAGTTTTCTGTATTTTTCTGTCACAACAACCTTCCAGTTTATTTTGTATCTGATAGATGAATAAACTTTCCATCGTATACTTTCGCTAAAAACTGTTGTACGTTTTTCCAAAATCTATTTTTATTTATTTATTTAACCGTTTCTCCCGACTCACAATATCCGATGATGGAAAGGTTCTTAAATAGAAGACTCTAATTCTATTTTTACGATATTTCTATCTGACATCTGCTGACCTGATCGATATACCGTCGTCAAAGTCGGGAGTTTGACAGTTTATGTCTAATTATAAAAGTCTGAAGTTGATTATCAGTTATGCTGACAGGTTTTGTTAGCAATTCAACTTTGATCTCGAGTTTGAAATTACTTAATTAAAGTGTAACATGTATGTAATTCTCGTTGATTTTTACTGATCTATTTAGAAAACCTCGATCAGTGAATTTAAATTTATCCGTATAGGATGCCTAACTATGAGACTATTGCACTTAAAACAGGTTACCAATTTTCAATTAATTACATGTCGAAGTAACCAGCACGTAGTCTTTCATACGTATGTAGTCTTAAGAACGTAGTCCTTCAGATAAAAGGGTTCATTGCTTCTCCCGTTTATGATACAAACGTTTCATACGCGTTCATATCCCATTTAAATTATTTTTCTGATTTAATCACAGGATGGGGAGTGTACAACTTTTTCATCGTCGGATTATGCGGTTTGTGCTCGTTCGCTCAAGCCTGTATGTTCCCAATAATCATAGTTGCGGTACCGTTTATGGTGTGCGACTTAGATCTTAGTATGCAGCAAACGACTTTCGCGTATGCTTCGTTGACTTTAGGTACATGACACTTTATGTATGTAGAAAACTAATTTCCAACTTTCTAAACCAACTAACATTAAGATATAACAATGAAAATAAGATTGTGTATAGGAATGGCAATAGGAGCGTTCGTAGTCGGATTATTTATTGATGCGTATGGACGAAAGAGTGCGATCCCTGTCACTATGATTCTTATCTTTTGCGCCAGCATCACCTTGTCCTTTGCACAATCCATCTTTGTAATAAATCTATCCATGTGCGCGCTCGGAGTAGGGTAAGTATCTTAAGAACGCATCTCTTCTTCTGGTTCCTGCTATGATTCATGCTGCTTAAATATCCCACGTGCATTCGCAGAAGCCGTGATCATTTCTTCCTCTCGTGCCTCCTAATTTCACCTGATTTTAGACTAGCTGGCAATAACGTCGTTTTAAGGGTGTATCTAATCGAATTTTTACCGAAGAAGCGGAGGGGCTGTTGCATGGTAATCCTGGATTTATTAGCAGTGATCGGTTGCACGTGCAGTATAGGTAAAAACAATATATAGGGTATACCAGAAAAAGTGTTAGAGCTGAAGAGAAGTGATTCTGTAAGTGTTTCTGAACAATTTCCTTTGCCAAAATGCAGAGTTGAGGGTTTTTGAATTATTGACGAAACATACTGACCAATAAGAGCGCGTGTAGGGCCCGCGCTATGCCACGGCCAAGCCAAACTATCCGTGGTTGGGCCTACGCATGCTCTCATCGGTCAGTGTTTTGTAATTTAAAAACCATGGCTCACTTTGCATT